TTTTTGAAGATGTTAAATAAACGTCACAGGTAACACAACAAAAATACTATAAGAATAGATCATGACCAAAAACTGTTTTCAGTGAATAACTTTTGCTGGATTCATATAGTGTTGTTCATCTGATTAATTCATTATCCAGTTTGCTCAAGTCAACTTTCATGCATTCTATACAAGCCTCAATTCTATTTGTCTAAATGATGAATTTTATAACAAATGTGTTCTTCATACAAGCTTTATATTTATAATGTGGGAATTAATTTAGTGAATTGTATGTGATCAGTGATTCTAAATATGTGTGATCAGTGAATAGAATACTATTCACTGATCACACATATTTAGAAATTATAAACAATTTGTAAGGATCCTGTTCAATTGATTATTAGATTTTAAAATGAAATTCTAATAAACAAACAGTATTCAATGTACAAAGTATAAATTGTATGTGCATCAAAAAACAAAACAAAATTGAAAACTATACAAAAAAATGTGTGTATGAACTAGATGAAAAGAGAAATATTTTTCTTTTCATTTCTTTTGCTTCTTCTTAATCTTAATTCTTCCAAAGAGGAAATAATACATTTTCTATCAATTTAATATATTTATTTGGGAGACTTGATTTCATATATTAAAATTTTATATTTTGAATCTCATTTCTAGAATTATCACTTGATAATTTCATATATATATAATTCTAATTATTGTATGTTATTGTAAATAAACATTTTAAAGTAATTATAACTGATTTAAAATAAAATTTTAGCATTAAATTAAAATTGATACTTGTTCATCTTTGAAAATGTTCAGATAAACTTACATTTCAAACATTTCTTTGACTTCAACAGAGGTGCATATATTTTACTGTCAAGTATTTTCAATTTATTATAAGACAACAATCTAATTTTTTAAAAGTAAATGTTCCCAATTTTAAGAAAATTGTCCCATTCTGTTGCTGAGAGAGAGATTACACTCATCTCTACCATTCGAGTCATATGAGTTCTTACTTAATTGCATTGTAGAAAAATACATGAAAAATCAACTTTTCTTTTCTTTTTCTGATTTATGGAGGGTAGTAACTTCCAAATTCTAAAACATTACACCAATAATGAAATAAAATTAAAGTTAAAAAAAGGTAAAAGCAAACCAACTTTGCAGAGAAAGAACACTTTATTACTTTGGTACATCCCCCAAATGCATTTTGCCAACAATATTAGGTCTCCTCAATATTGTTGGCAAAATGCATTTGGGGGATGTACCAAAGTAATAAAGTGTTCTTTCTCTGCAAAGTTGGTTTGCTTTTACCTTTTTTTAACTTTAATTTTATTTCATTATTGGTGTAATGTTTTAGAATTTGGAAGTTACTACCCTCCATAAATCAGAAAAAGAAAAGAAAAGTTGATTTTTCATGTATTTTTCTACAATGCAATTAAGTAAGACCTTATATGACTGAATGGTAGAGATGAGTGTAATATTAAAATCCAAAGTGTGCCACTCCCTTTTGTTCCGAGTTTTAAATATCTTGGGACATTTGTCAAGATGGGAGGAGGATTGAACTCGGAGGTGAAGCATAGAATTCAATGTGGATGGATGAACTGGAGGAAGATGAGCAATGTGTTATGCGACAAGAAAGTTAGCTGCAATCTGAAAGGAAAATTGTATAAATCAGTTGTTAGACCTGCAATGTCATATGGAGCTGAGACATGGGCAATACCAAGAGCCCAAGAAAGAACGATGAAGGTGGCGGAGATGAGAACGTTGAGATGGGCATGTGGAGTGTCAAGGAAGGATATAATAAGGAATGATTTTATTAGATATTCTGTTAAGGTGGGCCCCTTGAGCAAAAAAATGCAAGAATGTAGGTTCAGGTGGTTTGGCCATGTATAGCAAAGAAGTGTCAATTATGTTGGAAAGAAGATCGGAAAACTGGTAGTAAAAGGAAAGAGGAAAAGAGGAAGACCAAAGATGTGTTGGAAAGATAAGGTGGAAGAAGACTTGAACCAGAGGGAACTTAAGATAGAAGAATAAGGAGAAATGATAGGGAGAAATGGAAAAAATATATTAGAGAAGGAAATGCTGACCCCATATAAACATAGAAAAAGGCAAAGATAAAGAAGAAGAAAGTAATCAAAAATATACAAGGTAATATCAATGAATTACTGTACTTTTCAATTAAACTAATTAATGTAACACACTTATATTAATCTATAGTGTTGATATTATTGATATAATATCAACACTATAAATGATATAATACTTTTATTTTTAATACTTTGTAATCTCCTGAAAGTAATATCTGTATCACAATGAAAATACTTAAAAAGCGATTCTTGTTTCTCAAAGTTTTAAATATTTTTTTTATTCCTTAATACTAGCAAATGAATACATTTAAGCTTTTAAATTAAATTAAATTTAAATTACATTATACTTTGATGCAAAGCAATCAGACAAACAGCACCTTATCAATCTAGCAAAAGTAATTTACTACAAATGTTTTTGAAGATGTTAAATAAACGTCACAGGTAACACAACAAAAATACTATAAGAATAGATCATGACCAAAAACTGTTTTCAGTGAATAACTTTTGCTGGATTCATATAGTGTTGTTCATCTGATTAATTCATTATCCAGTTTGCTCAAGTCAACTTTCATGCATTCTATACAAGCCTCAATTCTATTTGTCTAAATGATGAATTTTATAACAAATGTGTTCTTCATACAAGCTTTATATTTATAATGTGGGAATTAATTTAGTGAATTGTATGTGATCAGTGATTCTAAATATGTGTGATCAGTGAATAGAATACTATTCACTGATCACACATATTTAGAAATTATAAACAATTTGTAAGGATCCTGTTCAATTGATTATTAGATTTTAAAATGAAATTCTAATAAACAAACAGTATTCAATGTACAAAGTATAAATTGTATGTGCATCAAAAAACAAAACAAAATTGAAAACTATACAAAAAAATGTGTGTATGAACTAGATGAAAAGAGAAATATTTTTCTTTTCATTTCTTTTGCTTCTTCTTAATCTTAATTCTTCCAAAGAGGANATTCTTAAAATAAATCCAAAATACATAAATTTATAATTTTTCAAATTTTTAAAATGTAAAATCAGACTATTTAATTCAGGAAGCTAATTATATTTTTTTATATGAAATATTTCAGCCACTACTATACATTTCCTTGATAAACAAGCCACAATGCATGGCAAAATACAGAGAAAATTGGCTTCAGTTCTTCCCAGATTTGAGGATTACAAAATTCAAAATGACTGTATCCAAATCTTTAAATTATCATCTGTAAATTGTCTTTTTATTTAGGTTTGGATCTAATTTTACTTTGACATTTATTTATTTTAAAATGCCATTTTACATCTTATTTTCAGAGGACAGCTTTCATTCTTATTTTTAAATTGTAATCAGTTTTTCTATCCTGAGGAAGATCACTTAAAATAACCAAAAACATTAGGAAAATTAAAATATTACTGAATTTTTAAAGGTACTGTAGTTTATTTTCAGCTCCTACATAGTTAGAAATCAATGTTATATCAGCTGATTTTCTATTGCATGATTATTCTTCAATTAGACTTCAAATATGTCAACATTTTTGACACAATAAAAATGTAGTGGAAACTGATAAATAGTATAGAAATTAAATATCTTTAAATTAAAATGTTTGATAACCTTTACAAAATTATGTTCTCTACATCATTAAGAAAATTAATTTATTTTAGAAAGTTAGTGTACTAAATCAAAATCNGAACAGAGTGAAATGAACAAATGCATTTGAACACTTATCATTTCTATAAATTTCATTGAAATTTGTGATATATTATGTCTTTCTTCTATATATCATCAAAAAAAATTATAAATTACAAGAAAACTAAGTAAAATTAACTGCTATTTTTCTAATATTTTTCATTATATATTGATTTTATAATAAGGTTTTAAATTTTATGATCATTATTTCAGACTAAGTAAAGCATTATTCATATGCAATAATTTTGGATATTCAGAAAATAAAAATTTCTGTGGCTTTTTAAACAATGTTAACACATATTCGTGGTTTTATTGATTTCATTTATACAGGATGATCAAACAAAAAGCTTACTTATGAAGACTAAACATGGCAATGCAAGGAATCTGTGGCAACAGAATGACTGACTTATCATGCACCACAAATTTATCTGAATCAATTACCTATACAGAAAATACATCATCCATAACTTAATTTGGGACTTCAGAAGCAACATGTTACATGTTAATTTTGCCATTTCCTTCTCTAATACTTTTTGATAAATTTAAAATTGGCAGTTTTAAAAATCAACATAAGTTTATTTCCTTTTATAATATGAGATACTAAAAGCATATTTTATTGATTTTCAGTAATGAGTTTAACACATTAAAAACATTGTTAGTTTATTCCATTTATGTCAGTTCTAAACGAGGAAGACCTATGAATAGGTCAAAAACATTTTTAATGTATTAAACTCATTGCTGGAAGTCAATAAGGTGTATTTTTAATATCTCATTGTCTCACATCCAGTTTGTTCTAAGAATATTTTAACTACATTTTATAATACTTTCCTTTTTCAAAATCAAGTAATAATATTCCTTTAAAGAGGCATTTATAATACATTACATAGAGACAAGCATAAAATGTCAATTTATTGCTAAAGCAGTTCTTTTTAAAGGTTTATTTTTAAGCAGTAAATTAGAGTTTTATTCCTGTTTGCATTTCACAATAAAAAATCAAATAAGTTGGTCAAATTTCCAAGATGAACAAGTACTGTTTAATTGGAGGCATATGCAACTATCATAGTAAATGTTAATTAATATAATTTTTTACATTAATTACTTAATATAAACACACATAAAAACCTTTACTTGACCAGTAAAAATATATTTAATGAAAACAACTAACGTTTTCGACTGCTTTCTCAGTCTTCCTCAGGTTTTAAATTCTGATATTCGAAAATCATTGTGCTTAAATATTTAAACATTTTGGAACATATACATCTTTGCGTATAAAATTCATTACGCGCATGCGTATTAGTCATTACGTACGTGAACCCAAATATTCACAAATATTATTTTACATATACATGTAAACGATGTATAACACCTTACATAGAGTTGTGGGGGCATTCTGCTTCATACGCAAACCTCCAAGCTGCCGAAATATTAATAGCATCTTTATAGTTGATACAGCTATTACGTAATCCTGCTTTATAAATTTCCAAAGCTTCTAGCGTTCGTACGTGTTCTCTTCTGTGTGACATTTTAATGATTTGCGCGTTCTGCAAGTTAGCACTTATGCCAGGGGTCGAAGCATACGTAGATAGGGCAGTGGTGCATCTGTTGTGTTCAATGTCATATTTGTGTTCGCGCATACGTTTATCCAGAGAGCGTATGGTGGAGCCAATATATATAAGATCCCTTTGAAATCTATGGTCTCTTAACGGGACAGAATACACTCCCGGTGCATACCTTTCGTCTATGTTGTCTTTGCTATTGCGCAGAATGTTGTAAATAGTATTGCGCCTCTTATATGCTATTCTTTTGTTTATACGCTTCGCAATTTCTCTGTAAATCGGATCTAGGTGGCGGTTATATTCAACCACCGCTACACACTGCAAATTATTCGAGTTGTTCGTGCGTGAGCTATCGTTGTATACACGTGATGAGTAGGCCAACGCCAGGTTTTGAATTAATCTTTTCCCATACCCATGTTGTGTGGCTATGTTCTGGATGTGTTGTAACTCCGCTAATGTATCTTCAAAGTTTGAGTGGTGTGTGAAAGCTCTCTTGGTTAGGGCCCGGAATGCTGCGACCTTGTACGAAAATGGATCATCCGAACTGGCAGGGATAAATCGAGGTGTGTAGCATGGCTTGTAATGGACCCTAGTTGATATCATATTGCCTCCTAATTGTATGTTGATATCTAGGAAGGTAGCGTTTGAATTGCTTATTTGGTCTAGTTTAATGCAGAGGCCATACGGGTTATTATTCATTGCATCAATGAAGTTATTTATATCTGGTTTAGCCTTCCACATAATAAAGATATCATCAACGTACCTTTTATAAATAAGTATGTTGGAACTATACATAGGTATGATTTTTTGTTCCAGTTGTCTAACGACTAATTCACATAAATCCCCCGATATTGGGCTGCCCATCGGGACCCCGCGTTTCTGTAGATACGTTTTGTTGTTGAACCTAAAAAATGAGTTGTAGCATAACAAGTGGGCCAGTTCCAATATTTGTTTACGGTATGCTCCATGCGACTTTAGTAAGAGGTCCCTAATTGCGCAAAAGCATGGCTGGATTTTTATAGACGGGTATAAAGACACGAAATCAAGAACCGTGATGTAAGTACGATCATTAATGCTAAGCGGTCTTAAAGCCTCTAATAACTCTGCAGAGTTTCTTACTGACCATGGATAATTGTTTAAGCTATGAGCTATATGTTTATGAATAGCTGTGTCTAACATCCTAGTGGGCGATCTCGCTTTGTCAAGGATCGGTCTTAATGCAGGTTTATCCTTGTGCGTTTTGGCGAAGGCAAAGAGCCTGGGAGTGTCCGGGGACGGCACCACTGCCCTACTTATGCCCAACTCTCTAGCGAACGGTGTTTGAGTAAACTTTTTTACCCGCGCTTGTAGTTTGTTGACAAATCCATCCTCGATAGGTTCACACTCCGTATCATTGATGTATTTTTGCATCATCGAAACGTACGTATTTCTCTGTAATAACACTAGAGCCTTGCTTTTATCCGCCTTGAGAACCACTATGTTATTATCCGCTAACCATTTTTTGGATTTGTGAATCTGCTTCCAATTTCTTTCGTCCTGTATGCGGTTGTTGGCCTGTTGTATCTTGAATGCTGACTTCCATCTGTAGTATTCTTTGTGCACTTCGCTCATCCCCGTGATCAGATTTTCTAAATCTGGCATCACTTTTTCAGTTCGTATGTATGAATCACGAGGGGCAAACATAGGTCCCTGTGATAGTGAGCGAACTAGAAAATCCGGAGGTGATATGTTATCCCAGCATATCATGGATGGGAGTTGTATTGCCTCCTGTGGTTTTTGCTTGTTTAGTATCCAGTCAAATTTCTTCTGATAACGTAAGGATAGGCTTCTTTCGAGCTTACGCTGGAATGTAACAATTTTTCGATTGATCTCCTGTAGTGACCCCGGATCTTGGTTGTGTATTTGATTCTCAACCTTGATTATGCAATTGAGTTTCGAAAACACCGCTTTGCGTGTTGTGCGTATTGCCTTCCGTAAACATAATATTCTAAGCTTGGGTAACAAAGACTCACATCCAACTGGTAGACTTATTCGTTGAATGGACATAGGAAACACCCCTCTATTCTTGCA